TCTCGTTAACGTCTAAGCCACCCCTTCGCTCTCTCTCTCTCTCTCCTGCTTCCGCCCCGCGCCCCGGCACCCCCGGCATCGTCCCTTCCAATTTGGCAAAGACAATGGAGCGAGACGGTAAACGCCAGCTCGCCCGGAGCCGTTCGCGCCCCGCGACTCGCTTTCCCGAAGGAACACCTCGGCACGGGGGAAATTAGGAGAGGGGTGGAAAATTCGCGCGGGGGCGAGATTTCACGATAATGGCGGATCGAGGAAACTTTCCGGGAAATATTTCATTTTCGTCGATGGGTGTTTTTTTTTCCGCTGTAGCCGATTGGAAAAGCCGAAAAGGCGAGTGGGAAATTTCATGGTAATGGCGGGTCGAGGAAATTTTCCGGGAAATATTTCATTTTCGTCGATGGGAAAAGCCGAAAAGGCGAGTGGGAAATTTCACACTAATGCCGGATCGAGGAAATTTACCGGGAAATATTTCCTTTTCACCGTTTCAGGTTTTCTGGAAAGTTTGGCAATATCGCGAGGGGAGCGTGAAATTTCACGATAATGGCGGGTCGAGGAAATTTTCCGGGAAATATTTCATTTTCGTCGATGGGTGTTTTTTTTTTTCCACGGTAGTCGATGGGAAAAGCCGAAAAGGCGAGTGGGAAATTTCACACTAATGCCGGATCGAGGAAATTTACCGGGAAATATTTCCTTTTCACCGTTTCAGGTTTTCTGAAAAGTTAGGCAATATCGCGAGGGGAGCATGAAATTTCATGGTAATGGCGGGTCTAGGGAACTTTCTGGGGAATATTAAATTTTTAAAAGATCTGTTCCCAGGCTGCATGTTTTTTTGCTAAGGAGTAAATTCATGTAGACGCGTAGAATTCCAGGAGGATGCTTCTGCGCCGGGATAAGATCCGGCGCGTCGATGGCGCATCCCGCGGGACTCGTGCGCATCCCCCGGAGACTTGTTTGCCAGGGTCAAATGTTGACCGAGCCTCCCCGGGCCGCTCCTGGACCATATCCCGCTTTCGAGGGACCCTCTCGAGGTCCTCTGTCGATCGCCGCCTGAATCGCTCTCCTCCTCTCAGGGGTTCCCGAAAAAGGAACTCCGTGATCCGGGATGTCGGGAACTCTCGATCGAGCGACTACTCCTTGGGCGAGAAGGGGCTCCCTAGGGTTCGAAGGAATCCCGAAGGAGGATCGAAACATTGAGGGAATAGACCGCTTCTATCCCGAGTAGAATTGATCTCGAATAGAATTGATCTCGAGTAGAGTTGATCTCGAGTAGAATTGATCTAGAGTAGAGTTGATCTCGAGTAGAGTTGATCTCGAGTAGTAGATCTTGAGTAGAAATGATTCCGAGTAGAGATGATCCTGAATAGAAATGATTCCGGGTAGGAATGTTCCTAAACAGAAATGATCCGGAGTAGAAATGGCCCTAAACAAAAATGATCCCGAGTAGAAATGTTCATAAACAGAAATGATCCGGAGTAGAAACGACTCTAAACAAAAATGATCCCGAGTAGAAACGATCATAAACAGAAATAATCCGGAATAAAAATGATCTCGAGTAGTAATTACCCAGAGTAAAAATGCTCACAAGTGGAAATGATTCCTGGTAGAAATGATCCCAAGTAGAAATAATCCCGAGTAGAAATGTTCATAAACAGAAGTTATACGGAGTAGAAACGGCCCTAAATAAAAATGACCATGAGTAGAAACGATCCTAAACAGAAATAATCCCAAGTAGAAACGATCCTAAACAGAAATGATCCCGAGTAGTAATAAACCTGAGTAGAAATGATCCGGAGTAAAAATGATCCCAAGTAGAAATGATAATAGATTAGAAACGATCCTAAACAGAAATGATGGCAGTAAAACTAATCCCAAGTAGAAACAATCCTAAACAAAAATGATTCCGAGTAGTAATAATCCCGAGTAGAAATGATCCAGAGTAAAAATGATCCCAGGTGGAAATAATAATAAATTAGAAACGGTCCTAAATAGAAATGATCCCACTAAAACTAATCCCGAGTAGAAATGATCCGGAGTAAAAATGATCCCAAGTAGAAATGATAATAGATTAGAAACGATCCTAAAATGGCAGTAAAACTAATCCCAAGTAGAAACAATCCTAAACAAAAATGATTCCACTAAAACTAATCCCGAGTAGAAATGATCCGGAGTAAAAATGATCCCAAGTAGAAATGATAATAGATTAGAAACGATCCTAAACAGAAATGATCCCAGTAAAAATGATCCCAAGTAGAAATAATAACAGGGCTCTGATGGGTCCTCTATGAAAACCCGTAGATACGTCTGGATTTGGATCCTTCAGCCTCCGAAATCGCCCCAGTGATTAGGGAAGCTTCAGCCAGGTCGTTTGATAAATACCGGGATTCGTCCTGAAATCCAATCCGCATAATAACTCTAGGAAGGTTTATCGAAAACCTCGGGGTAGGGGGTCGAACCCCATATACCCTCCTATTCTCTGTCCCCTGATTTAAGAGATAACGACCGCCTATCAATCGTAACGACACCACATCGATCTAGATACGATGACGCTTTTCGTCGGTTTTCGCCTAAGTGAAGTCTACACGCGATATATTTCGTCGTGCCCTTTTGGTCTTTCCGACTCTGGCTGGTTTTAATGGATCCTAACCTATTCTCGTTGACTATTCCTGGTGATCCTAACCTATTCTCGTTGACTATTCCTGGTTTTAATGGATTCTAACCTATTCTCGATGGCTATTCCTGGTTTTAATGGATCCTAACCTATTCTCGTTGACTATTCCTGGTTTTAACGGATCCTAACCTATTCTCGTTGACTATTCCTGGTTTTAACGGATCCTAACCTATTCTCGTTGACTATTCCTGGTTTTAATGGATCCTAACCTATTCTCGTTGACTATTCCCGGTTTTAATGGATCCTAACCTATTCTCGTTGACTATTCCTGGTTTTAACGAATTCTAACCTATTCTCGTTGACTATTCCTAGTTTTAATAGTTACTAGCGACTCCTCGCGAGGTAACCCCTTGGAGGAGGCGAAACTAGGTAAATCTAATTAGTTACTAAAATCGTAGAAAAATAGGTATAAACAAATTTTCTTAAAATTGAAATATCATGGGTACCAGGACCTTCCTAACAGCCTCCGTGTTCACATAGTCAAGTCTGAGAGAATTTGGTAGACCCATTTCGTATAAAAGTATCACAAAGCGATACCTCTTTGACGCCACGTTCACATCACCTTAACAGGGCGACTCCTCGGGAGGTAACCCCTTGGAGGAGGCGCGAGGGTGGTCGACTAATTCGTCCCGGTGATTACCGATCCATTAGCGTGGCAGCCGACAAATAGCAGGCTACAATCCAATAACCATCGTGGCCCGTAATAAAAGGGAAGACGGTTTAGGCACCAGTCGGGGGTAGTTTAGCGCGGGGCTCGCGAGGGGGCGCGACGCGTCCCCTCCCACCCTCCCCCTGATAGCGATCATTGCATTCATTGTCACATGACTATAATACCCTGCCGGCGAGTCGGGGGACACCCCGACGTGGCCGAGGCAGGGGAGGAACCGGGAACCGACTAAATGGAACGGGAGCGGAATGGAATCGCGAGGGGTGGACTAAAAGCTCGATCTATGCGCTCTAGATAAAGACCAGAGCTGGATTAATTACCGTCGCGACGCGCCCCCTCCGATCGAATTTATCCACCATCGGCGTTAAGTAGAGATAAGTTTTTCCCACCCCTTCCGCTTTCCTCCGGAAATTTCGACGGCGGTCCTTCGGCCCCTGTGTTTTACGACTCCTTCGGCCCAGCCAAATGAAATTCATGCAAATCGGGACACGTCCCGATCCCACCCCCGGCCGGCTTTTGTGTCGGCGCGGCGATGCGTTCCTCTCGGCACGTCGGAGGGTTCCTGGACCCCGGCCGAGAATCTCCCCGTCGGCTCTGTTTCCGGACCTAGTACTGTCTCGGTGGTGGGTTCTGTACGTGTATCAAGGGTTTCTGAACCTGATGCTTTTGACACCTTTGGTGACGTTGGGTTCCTTTCGCTGATGTTGGGTTTAGGGCATCTCTGTTTGGGTGGAGTTGGACAGTTTTGGGCTGATCTTTCTCTTGCGTTCAATGATATTTAGACATAGTATCTGTCGGCTCTGTTTCTGGACCTAATACTGTCTGGGTTCTTTATGTGTATCAAGGGTTTCTGAACCTGATGCTTTTGACACCTTTGGTGGCATTGGGTTCCTTTCGCTGATGTTAGGTTTAGGGCACGGAGAGAAATCTCTAGGTGGAGTTGGATAGTTTTGGTTTCAATCATATTTAGACAAAGTACCTGTCGACTCTGTTTCTGGACCTAATACTGTCTGGGTTCTTTATGTGTATCAAGGGTTTCTGAACCTGATGTTTTTGACACCTTTGGTGACGTTGGGTTCCTTTCGCTGATGTTGGGTTTAGGGCCCGGAGAGAAATCGCTGTTAGGGTGGAGTTGGACAGTTTTGGTTTCAATGATATTTAGACAAAGTACCTGTCGGCTCTGTTTCTGGACCTAGTACTGTCTGGGTGGTAGGTTCTGTATGTACATCAAGGGTTTCTAAACCTGATGCTTCTGAGACCTTTGGTGGCATTGGGTTCCTTTCGCTGATGTTGGGTTTAGGGCCCGGAGAGAAATTTCTGTTTGGGTGGAGTTGGACAGTTTTGGGCTGATCCTTCTCTTGGTTTCAATGATATTTAATTAAAGTACTGTTCAATAGTATCTACTAATCTCTATCACTGGTACTACTACTAGTACTCTATCACAGTATCGCTAATCAAAGCTCTGTTTCCGGACGTAACGCAACTTGGATGTGGGTTTTTCTACGTATATCTCACTTTCTGTACATGCATTCTGATACCTTTTGGATGAATTTCCCATCTCGAGAAACGCGTTTCTTGCGTGAATTTTTTGCTCCGTATGCCGGAAACGAACTCAACCGCCTTTTCTACCCAAGAAGCAGCTTCTTATGCTTTTTATTCTTTCAGGATATGCTAGGAACGGACCGAATTACTATGGCAAGAAGATCGGGAACCTGACAGTGTTCGGCCATGGGATCAAGGGGATGGTTTTCGCCGTAGACGACTCGACGATCTTCATCAAGGGCTTCAGCTACGACGGGACCGGACCGGACGCCTACTTCTGGGCCGGGAACTCCACGATGCCGAGTCCCGAGGGATTCATCGTTCCCTATCCTGAGGACTATCCAGGAAGGCAAGTAGTTTCCGGCACACCTGTATAGAGAAATAAATTTAAAAAGGCGCCGTATCGATTTACCCTCGTGCAGAAATCTAGATTCGCGCTCAGCCCCTAGAAGGAGGCCCAGGGGAAAGTAATAAAGTGCCACGATTCCCGAGTTCCTGTCAGAATTGGAAAGTAATTCGGTTTTTATTAACTGCACCCCCCCGGTCAAAATCCTGCCCCGAGCCCTTTGAGTTTCGTTTCATCCCCTGGATACCGACCGGCTCCCCTTTCATCCCCTGGATGCTCCCTAACCTCGCACTTCTATCTCCTGCCCTGTTGGAGAACGACGGACTGGTCGGCAATATTTACCAACGACGGGGGAAATTATTTACCCTGATACATTGATTTATTAAAAAAAATATATATATGGGAAATCTTCGTATAGATAGATATTAATGACCACCATTAAAAAGAAAAGGAAAATGTGCGTCGCGGGACAGACACGACCGAAGTAATACTTCAGCAATTAATTTGCATATTACGTAAAGATATTATTTATTGATGTTTATTGATATTATTTATTGAATGTTTACAACTTTCTGTCAGGTTATTTATGCATAAATTCGTATTTATTTATTTTTTTTATACTAAACATCCGTGGCTGGAACTTTACTCCCCAAGCCCCTTCAAGTTTCATTTCATCCCTTCAATACAGCCCAGTCTCTTTCATCCCTTCAAAGTTGGAGATCGCACTTATACTTCTACTTTACTGATGGGGAAGGACGGTCTAGTATCGGGAGAGAATTATTAAACCATAAAAATCGAGTTGCTACGGCTTAGAATATAAAATATGCATGTATCTCGATAGGACGACCTCTACTCTAAAATATCATTTCTATAATCCTTTCATCTTCCAATTTTACAATGTAGCGCCAAACTTGAAAATATGTATAAATCTTACACTGCGCGAAAATATCACTTTTTGCATTAAAAGAAATTCACCATTTAGATTGCCGCCTATAATTAATTTCCTGTAGAACGTATATTTCGTAGTTCACTATTTATCACATTTCTTTCTTATTTTACCTGGAGGGAAATTTTATTTGCGCTCGGAGAAAAAAAAATATATAGATATATAAATGAGAGGAACTAACTCGAATATTTATTTCAGGGAACCGCCGATTTTGGAGGATTACAACAACACCGATATAATCCTGAAGCTTCCTCAGGGAATCAGAATTCGAGACATCAAGTACCTCGGCGTGTGGTGTCGAAGATTCACCGTGAGTGTTTCAAAAATTTACTTATCAGTGTTTCGCGTCTATATATATATATTTGGCGCGAAACTCTACCGAGTTTGAATTGAAAGATTGTCATATTTATTTTAACACATTCGCGAGTATTCGCGCAATTTCATTATTTTATTATTTTCGCCGGTACTCAGTATTTGAAACGGAAACAAATTTGCCGGTTGCGAATGTGTTAACAGTGCACCTTAAGGGGATGTGAAAGTCGCATCCGAAAGCTCAAACGTTCATAAAACTCAAATCGTTTCATACTTTAAAACGTAAATACGAAGACCCTAAGGTAGGTCCTGAAACTCGCGAAATTTCAATTTTTTATAAACTATTTTTACAATACCTATAAAGAAATTTGAAAAGAATTGAAATTTCATAAGTTTCAGGACCTTCCTTGTAGTCTTCCAGTTCACGTTGTAAAGTTTCAAACTATTCGGTAAATCGAGTTGGGAGAAAAGTTTAATAAAGAAAACCTCTTCGACGCCCCTGTCACATCACCTTAAGGGGATGTGAAACTGGCATCCGAAAGCTCAAACGTTCATAAAACTCAAATCGTTTCATACTTTAAAACGTGAATACAGAGACCCTAAGGTAGGTCCTGAAGCTCGCGAAATTTCAATTTTTTATAAACTATTTTTACAATACCTATACAAAAATTTGAAAAGAATTGAAATTTCATGAGTTTCAGGACCTTCCTTGTAGTCTCCCAGTTCACGTTGTAAAGTTTCAAACTATTCGGTAAATCGAGTTGGGAGAAAAGTTTAATAAAGAAAACCTCTTGGACGCCACTTTCACATCACCTTAAATTCATTAGTCGCACGTGAAAACCTCCTGTCCGGTCTCGAGTCGTTTCGTTCTTTTTTTTTTCTGTTTTTTTTTTTTTCCTGTCGAGGGGGAAGATCTCCCGTTTCGGGGCATCGAGATAAGTTAATTCCCGAGGAGGGCCAAGGGCGGCCCTATCGGGTCGCATTGGCGAGCAATGGCGCGTGCGAGATGGATACCGAAGCCGCCAAGGCAGGGTCGACGAACGTGCCCGAAAAGGGAGGAGAGGGTGCAGCTTTTGCTCTTATATCGGGAGGGCTTTAATATCGAAGTCCGAGGGGTGCTCCCGCACCGTGACAACCCTCCATCGGACACGCTCCGTCGCCGCAAAACGCGCCGCCCGTCCTCTCCCACACTGTTAAAAAAAAAAAGATTCTGTGAATTTTATAACACTTTTGATGGAAGTTTCATTCAGACGCGGTATACTAATTTAAGGGGATGTGAAAGTGGCATCGAAGGGTTTTTTTTTATGAAACATTTCTCCCAATTCGGATTTACCGAATGGTTTGAAACTTTACAACGTGAATAGGGAGACTGTAAGGAAGGTCCTGAAACTCATGAAATTTCAATTCTTTTCAAATTTGTTTATAGGTATTTTGAAGATAGTTTATAAAAAATGAAATCTCGCGAGTTTCGGGACCTACCTTAGGGTCTCCATATTCACGTTTTAAAGTATGAAACGATTGAGCTTTCGGATGCCATTTTCACATCCCCTTAAGGTGATATGAGTGTGACGTCGAAGATGTTTTGTTTATAAAACATTTCTCCCAATTCGGATTTACCGAATGGTTTGAAACTTTACAACGTGAATAGGGAGACTATAAGGAAGGTCCTGAAACTCATGAAATTTCAATTCTTCGCAAATTTGTTTATAGGTATTTTAAAAATAGTTTATAAGAAATGAAATCCCGCGAGTTTCAGGATTTACCTTAGGGTCTTCATATTCACGTTTTGAAGTATGAAACGATTTGAGACACCCAGTTCGTAGAAAAGTTTTATGAACGATTGAGCTTTCGTATGCCACTTTGACATCCCCTCAAGGCGAAATGAAGCTCTCCTCAATCAGTCGATTCGAGAAAGACAAATTCTTTAAGGATATGACTGTCAAACATTGACTCCCTAACCAATCTAATCTCCACAACCGAAACCTCCATTACCCATTTGTTCCCCCGAAAATGTATGAATTTCCGGAAATGCCGGAAATGACATATATGGTAAAAAAAAAAAAAATAATTAACCTTAAATTCGGCATCGAAACCTGCCGGAGTATTTACACATTACAGTGGTCCATAATAAATGTAAAAGCCCATAAAAGGGTGATAAAACCGTAACGAGTCCGCCGCCCTTTCATAGGGCCATATAAAGACAGTAGATACGCGTTATCGCCGCGATTAGAGTGACACCGGCCATTAAAGCGTGTTAAAAGCGGGAAAGTCGGGGAAAGTCGGGAAAGCGAGTCCCGTCGAGCCCCGGGAGTCCTCAATGGACGGAACCTCGAGTGTCCCGAGGGTGAATCCGGGGGTAGATCGGGGGTGCAAATCCGAGCCGAATCGGCAATCCATCGAGCGGCAGGATCTCCTTCGAGGGGGGTCCTCCCACCACCCACCACCCCCCGGAACAAGGGCTGGCGAGCCCTGACAATACGTCCTCCCGCCAAACCCCGGGGTAGGGACGATTGACGGACAGCTCCTGTCTACTCGATACCAGCCAAGATCCGCACCCCCCGGATACACGTCATCCACGTCATCTCCGGAGCCCCTCGACAACCCTAAGAAATCTCTCCTGCAATCTGCCTCGTTTTATGATTTATCTATTTATTTTTTTTCTCTAATCATAATACTGGATGGTCCTTTGCTCTTACAAGCTTTCTTCTCTATTTTTTTACTATCATCTCTCGAGCGCATATCAGCATGCTTTAGGATTTTCATTATTACTTTCTTTAACCCTTCGAACACGGATCCATTTCGACATACGGGCGAAAGTCGCCTGACCGTGCGGGCGATATTCGACCAAACGTCGCGTGCCTTTAGGCGCTCTTAGTAGCCAAAAGGTTAACGTTGTCAGACGCAGTTTGGCACCTCTACTTCAGACTAGAAGTCAGGCCATTCATTCGCAAGATTCCTGTCATTTGATACAATTTCTCTTTTTATTTCTTCTGGAAATATCATGTTTTTTTCCCAAATGTATTTTCTTCACCCAACTGTTTGACGGGGTTTTTTTCTCTCCTAGCGAGGTTTCGACGACTTCTGCGAACGGCGGGTCTGTCGTAAAGAGTAAAAGCGAGCGGGCGTTAAGATCGACCGATAAGGTGTCGTTGTCGGTCGTTAAGTGTCGCTTTTGTGAGCCGCCCCCCAACGGATGGCTGACCCGTGCGTCGCCGTTACTACTGAAACGCGCATCTCTTTTTTTTAGGGCAGCGATCGCAAACGTCGACCTGACGAGATCCTGGCGAGGTTCCTGTTAAGTTCCTGTTAGGTTACAGGAGGTTGAATTTTTAATAAGGTCCTTCCTACATCCCCAGGNGGACTCCCCAGCAAGATTCCAGGAACGTCTTGCTCTGAAATCCCTGAAACGACTTTTATACGGTGTCGTTGGATGGCGGCTCATTCGGCGATCTTAACGACCAGCACGAGTCGTATAACGCCTGCGTTGGATTTTCTCATGGCCCCCGGGGATGATCGGCCAGGAAGCGAGCTGTTTCTCTTTAACGCCCCCGACACGAGCCGGGGGACGTTAAAGGGGGTGACATCCTCCAGGACGAGCCGCCAGGGTGCATTTGCATCTGAATTCCGGCCCTCTTCCGGGGTTAATTAAACGCCTCATGGTTTTCGAGGGTGGGACTGCTCCTGGCACCGAGTGGACCCCGTCCCTGTCTTCCATGGGGGGCGGCGACCGTAACTCGCGAGACCCCCCATGGGGTTCCCGGCTGGTCCCTGGGAGGTCTACCAAAATCTAATTCGGTTAACGTCTTCACTGAATCTAACCTACCGGAACAGGAACTTCAATAATGATACTCTGGGAATCTACAAGCTTACAAAAATTTCAATCGATACGATACCTATTGGCAAGTTCCCATTTAACATTCCACGTGGTCAATTACACCATCTGCACGGTTCCACTTACCTCGTTATCTTCACCCATGTCGATGTAGTAATTCTAACCAAGTTATTATATTTTCTTTCCCCTGCATAACTGACCCGCCAGACACTAGCGTATCGGACTGCGTTCAATATTGACCGTGAAGTGAGCGCAGCCCTTAAAAGCCTCGTGATTTTTGCCTGTCGATGGCGACCCTTAATCGCGGGAGACAACCGGGGGGGAGAGGAGAAGAGAGGACCCCCTCGCGCGGACGGTCAATAGATATCCGGGAAGAAATCGGGGCGGCTCGCTTGCCGCGGTGATTCCGCTACAATCGGCGAATAATGTCGGATCTCGGGGGCGGGGCGGGGCGGGTCGGGGGGAGGGCGAAGGGGAGAAGGGGGACTGGGGCCGCGATCAGGTATCGGGCGCGGGCGAGGGAGCGGCGCATGCGCGCCGCGACGGCGGTCGATGCTTGCCCGGGGCCGGCGCGCGCGCGACTGAGGCTTTAAAGCGCGGCTGCCGCCATTTTGAGGACGCGCCGGTCCCCGATCGCCCGAGCTCAGTGGCCCGGAAATGCCCCGCGCCGCGCCGCCATCTTGGCTCGCGGCCGCCATCTTGGAAGCTCCCGGCCGACGGCTTCCGACTTAGGGCGCTATATTCCGGAGACTGGACCGGAGATGGGGTGGCGGTCTACCTGGGAGTTTGGTGGAGAGGTGAGAGGGCGTCTCTATAAGGGATTTCTTGGGTGGAGAGGAATCTTTTGATGACTTGTAAGCGGAATGAAAAAATTGGGGGATTTGGTGGAGCCAAGATGGCGGCGCATGTGGGGTCGCGATGTGGTGGGAAGGGACTAGGGGGGGTTTGGAGGTTTGAATGAATATTGGGGCGGTTTATGTGGAATGGGGGGAGAGAGAGGTCGGAGGACGTCTCTACCAGGGATTTCTTGGTAGAAATGAATTTTTGGATGATTTGTAGACGGGAAAAATACGGAGCTTTGGTAGAGGCAAGATGGCGGCGTCTGGGGTGTCGCGACGTGAAGGGAAGTCGGTGTTAGTTTCTTAACGATTATTTTGAAGGTTAGG